CACCTTGCTACGTGTACTGCGTTAGGCTAACCGAGACTTGTCATTTGCACTTATATATTGTTGCTCTTTTGTTAGTTTTGACTGCTTTTATTGTCCTCATTTGTAAGTCGCTTTGGATAAAAGCGTCTGCTAAATGACTAAATGTAAATGTACCTGGAAGTTGCAAACAATGTGACTTTGTGATGCTTTAATACAAAAACAAAAAACTAAAACGAAAACATTTTTGCCGTTTAACAAAAAAGTAAACAATAAAAAATTAAATAGAATAAATAAAACAAATACAATAAAATAATTGTTAATGAAACAAAATTTATTTAAATAATTTAAATAAAATTAAAATAAATGATTTTTAATCATTTAACCATTTAAATGGTTTTAAAAACACTGCCCTGTGACAAAACTGAAACCATGCAACTACAATGCAACATTGTTAAATGTTGTAAAAATGTTTGACGCTTGCAAAGAAGTGATTAATAAATCTCAACCCACTTCCTGCATTTACAAAAACATAGCAGTGATCGGTGATAAGTGAAAAGTTGATATGTGATAAAGTTGTGAGCTCAAGACTGACTCACAAGTCAGAGGAGTCTAAAAAAGCAAGCTATGGCCACTTATGTTCACAATAGGTGAAAAAAAGAAAAACTTTCTGTAGTTTCAGACACTACTGTTGTATTAAAGGTAAACAGCCTTCAGAATAGTTCATAATTACAAGTATACAGATAAACAATGCCATCATGCTCCTCTATACAAGCACTTGTTATTACCATCATCTGCTCCTCATTCCTCATACTTCATAAAGAACCTCAAAATGAAATCTTCTGAAATTAAATGGCTCAGTCTGTGAAGACACACTCCAGTGTTTACAATGCAAAGTTCCCGCCTCTCTGGGAAGCCAGCCAATCATAACAGAAGTAATTTACATACTGTAATAAAAGTCTTAAAGGGGTCATATGATGCTGCTAAAAAGAACACTTCTTTCTTAGCGTGAACATTTGGGCGGCGTTATGCAAATCTTCCCACAGAGCGACGTAGGTATGTTGGGGCGTGTTAGAACGAGCTGTTTTAGGTAGGTGTGGCTGACTCTTAACTTTTATAAAGAATATCTCTTTGGATTTGAGACTTTAGTCTTTGCAACTTTACAGATCTTCTTTATGCACCAAGAGCTTGTAACACTCCAAAGAGAAAGGAAAAATTGAAATTGCATCATATGACACCTTTAAAGGTACAAAAACCAAAACAGCCCTTTCAATTCTAATGGTCAGAGAGAGGGTGGAAATTATTTCGTACAAGACACTGTGGCTAACATTACAGTTTAACTGTATACTGCCTACACAGACAGCATCCTAACCATCAAGGGAGCAAGCACACACGCCATACAAAACACCGCTCATCACATGAAGCACATGAGCAATGTGACTCAACAATGAATCAGAGAGAAAATGACGTTTACATGTTACAACTTACAACATAAGCTCAAAAAAGACAAAAAAAAAAACATAAAAGCAGTTTAATATAATTAAAAATGGACAGTTTAAAAAAATTGTTTGCTATCAAAATTTTGGTAACACTTTAAAATAAAGTCCCATTAGTTAATGGATTCACAAAAAATGCATTACCAATGAGCAGTTTATTTGTTGCAGTGCTTTGTTTACATCCAAAAATACTGTTTATTGTTAGTTCATGTCAGTTCAGATACATTAAATAATATTATCTGCCACAATTTTTTATTTTAATAATATAATAAATGTTGAAATGAACATTAACTATGGTTAATAAATGCTTTAGAAGTATTTTTCATTGTTAGTTTGTTAACTAATGCAGTTAACTAATGTTAACAAATTATTATTGTAAAGTGTTATCAAAACGTTTTACCAAATAAACTTGAAAAACTTATAATAATTAAAATATTTTAATGTTTTTAAGTCTTATGCTCACCAAGGCTGCATTTTTTTATTTAAAATACAGCAAAAACATTAATATTTTAAAATATTATTACAATCTAAAATAACTACTTGAATACATATTTTAAAAAGGAATTTATTCCTGTTATGGCAAAACTGCAAAACTGAATTTTCAGCATCCTTGTCACATGATCCTTCAAAAATCATTCTAATATGCTGATTTGCTGCTTAAACAAACATTTCTTATTTTTATCAATGTTGAAAACAGAAACTTTGCTACACTACCATTCAAAAGTCTGGGGTAAGATTAAAAAAAAAAAATTTTAATACTTTTATTCAGCAAGGTTTTCAACACGAATAATAATAAGAGCTATTATTAATAGAGTACCAATAATAATTGAGCAGCGAATCAGCACATTACAATGATTTCTGAAGGATCATGTGACACTGAAGACTGGAGTAATGATGCTAATATTGATAAGCTAAAATTAAGCCCTGCTAGGTAAATATTAGTATTGATTTACATAACCGACAACATGATATCATGGACGTGTGATCTTACCTGTGGATAAGCTGTGTCTCTTCTGGGAAACACTGGAACACAGTGTGTCTTTGTCTCTGTGGATCTGCGGACAGAAAGAGGAAGATATGGTCTTATGCATGTGACCGTATGAATGAAAAAAGCTGTCTGACACATTCAAAGCAACTATAAACATCAGACTGCATGAAAAATTTGATGAGTTTTTTTGTTGTTGTTTCATTTTCTTTCATTGCTGAAAAGGTTGACGTAACTGAGGGTTTCTAATGAATGTATGAAACAAAAGGGTAACAGAAGCAGCAGCTTTGCTCACATGCGCTCAGAGACTGCAGCATATATGAGTTTAGAGCTCAGTCTGTGGTTTGTGGAGCCCATAACAGCTGCATCTCACTCATCACAGACCACACACTGCCTCACACCGGCCCTGAGGGACGACAGCGGCTTCAGCGATCAGGATCCAATGCTGAGTTGCTCCCCACAAACAAACTACTGCTGGCTGGATTCTAACCAATGATAAAACCCGGCTTATAAAACAGATCCAGCTCAAATAAGATAAGCTAATAAAGCAATACACTGAGAGGCAGTCAACTCACTCCCTTAATCCAAAGTTACGTTTAATTTTAAAAAGGCATTTATGGAAATAAGTAAATAAATACTGACTTGAGATACTCTGAAAGCATCTTTAAGAATGTTTTGAAAGCAATCAGTCATTTTTTTTCAATCGTATGCCACAATAAAAAAATAAAATAAAAAAAAAGTGCGATTATGAATAAATGGAGTTAAATGTTATAGCTTGCTGCAGTTTTCTTTTTTGTAGGACAATAATGTGGAAAAAAAAATAACTTAAAGAAAACGTAACAATAAAACAAAATTCTAGCAAATATAAATAAATAAAAAATCATTAAAAAACAATGGTAGCCAGTAGAAAAAAATCGTAATTGTTGCGCTCTTTAAAGGGGTCATATGATGTTGCTAAAAAAAACATTATTTTGTGTATTTGGTGTAATGCAATGTGTTTATGCGGTTTAAGGTTAAAAAAAACATATGCCCCGCCTTTCTGAAACGCGTCGATTTACAAAGCTCATCGTTCTGAAAAGCAAGGTGTACTCTGATTGGCCAGCTATCCAGAAGGAAAAATTTAAATCGCATCATATGACCCCTTTAAAATAATAATTATGAAAAATAATAAACAGTTCCTTAACCAAGTATGGTTCATTTTTTAAGAAATTAATTATTTTATTCTAGCAATAAATAAATAAATGTGTAATAATTTGTTGTAGGAGAAACCTTGAAGTATTTTTTTGTAAATAAATCATTTGCTAGATTAAAACAAAAATAATTTGTTTGTTTATTTATTTATTTATTTATTGCAAATATAAAAATGCAGTGGTCAGTAGGGAAAAAAATCCTTATTGTTTGAACTCTGTAAAACATTAATTATGAAAAATAATATACAGTTCTTCAACCAAGTATGGTTAATTTTTTTAAGAAATTAAATATTTTATTCAGCAAAGACACATTGAATTGATTAGTATAATGAAGTGACAGCAAAGACATTTACAATGTTACAAAATATTTCTATTTCAGTTAAATGCTGTACTTTTGAACTTTCTAATGATCAAAGAATCGTGAAAAAAAAAATGTATTGCGGTTCCCTGTTTTCAACATTGATAATAATAAGAAATATAAGAATCTTTAGCAGCAAATCAGAATATTACAATGATCTCTGAAGGATCACGTGACGCTGACGACTCAAGTAATTATGCTGAAAATTCAGATTTGATGACAGGAATAAATTACATTTTAATATATATTAAATTAGAATATATTATTCAAATAAAAATTTTAAAACGTTAATAATTTTTCAAAATATTACTGTTTCTGTTGTATTTTTTTATCCAATAATTACAGCCATAATGAGCATAAGATTTTCAAAAATATTTTTGAACGCTAGTGCATATGAACATAATTGTCTTTTATCACATTGCAGATGTAAAAGCACTGTAGAGGGAATGTGTTTTGCCATTCTTAATTTGTTTTAAGGTAACCAACAGACAAAGCAGTCCTAATACAGGTCACATATAGCTTGGTGCTAAAAAGAGTCTCAGCAATCTTGTGCATCTTCTATACCGTACTTCCTTTTTCAAAGTCCAGTTTCAGTCTGTATTATACTAAACAGGCCCAATATTGTCATGCCTGCTTGCCAACTATATGTCAGCTTTTGATCTGAGGCACTGAATGGGTGAATACATACAGTCTATTAAAAATGTTTACACAGATCTCAAGTTACGGCCAGTACTGCTACTGAACAGCAACCTGTACAAAGCTCCCACAATAGAAAGCCTGTATTAAAGCATCCTGCACTGCTGATGGTTATTCACTCGGCTGGAAAGCACACTGAAAAGCTCTTTCGCCTTTGTTATAACCCAGCTACAGGGTCACACAGGTGATGCAAGATCGGACGGGGGAGAAAGACGGTCAACAAAGGATCCCTAGAGGGAGGGAATACATGGGGAAAACGTGAGGAACCAGAGAAATGGCTTCTGATTTGACCCAAGAGCAGTTCACGTTTCCATCCTGGCCAGGGAATAATTATGCTCACACCCTCGAAAAACCAAGTGGCCGTGCACAGTTTTAAAGCCATTAACAATGCACAATGCTGCATTAATGATCATGTCCATGCCAGGGCTCAGACAGTCCACTGTGTACCTCTGAGAAGACAATGCTTATGGAGAACACTGTCATCTGTTGTCCCGAACACAAGGGGCCGGGGAGCACAAACACACACTCTTTGGGTTATTTGCACAGCAGTTCCCATCATAGTGTGTGATGATATCACACAGCTGCTGCTGCTGAAAAACCAATAGAGATTAAAGAGATTATAAATGAAAAGAGCTGTATTGTTTAGGCATAAGTGGTAGAACTACCGCTGTCAGATTGTGACCGAGTCCGACAAAGGTTTGTTTAATTATAAAGTGTACGAGATGTTTTCATTGGATGAATTAATTCTTTCTTCACACTAAAATCAGATCCATTTGTCCAGGGGAGTCAAACATGGCATGTACAGAGTTCATCAAATGTGCGAGTTTTAATAGTATATACAGGTGCATCTCAAAAAATTTGAATATCGTGAAAAAGTTATTTTCTTTTGTGTAACATTTCAATAAGTGAAACTTTCATATTTTCTAGATTCATTACATGTAAAGTAAAACATTTCAAAAGTTTTTTAGTTTTAATTTTGATGATTAGAGCTTACAGCTCATGAAAGTCAAAAATCCAGTATCTCAAAATATTAGAATATTTCC